AAATATATTTGAAATATATTTTAAAAATATTCTTCCCAAATATATTGACATATATTTGAAATGCTACAATTCTGGCCATATTCAATATATTTCAAAATATATTTCAATAAATATCTATATATATCTATATATATATATATATATATATATACTGCATGCTGAAATGCGTTTTTATTATAGAATATATGAAAAAATATTTTTTAAAATACATTTCAAATATATTGTATGTCTTTAAAAATACAAATCTACATTTTTGGAATGCATTTACAAATATATGTAAAAATATATGTTAAAATTACTTTTTTATATGATGAATATATTTATAAAAAAATCACCAATCACTTTCACATTTCAGAAGCAGATTAAATTATAATTGGTGACTGAAATATATCTTGGTCTTGAGCTTTTTTATTATTTATTTATTTCAGGTACTTATATAGCGCCATCAATTTATGCAGCGCTTTACATACATATTGTACATTCACATCAGTCCCTAACCCTCAAGGGGCGTACAATCTAAAGTCCCTAACTTACATTCATACATACACACAGGGGCAGACTGACAACTCATGGGGCCCCCGGGCAATAGGGGATCATGGGGCCCCTGTGTCCTTGCTCAAACTCAATAAAGGTACCAGGGGCATCTCATGGGGCCCCCTACTGACCCCGGGCCCTCAGGCAGTGCCCGAGTTTCCAAATGGTCAGTCTGCCCATGCATACACATACTAGGGCCAATTAACCTACCAGCATGTCTTTGGAGTGTGGGAGGAAACTGGAGTACCCAGGTACAACGTACATACAGGGAGAACATGCAAACTCCAGGCAGGTGGTGCCGTGGTTGGGATTTGAACCAACGACCCTAGTACTGCCAGGCGGAAGTACTAACCATTTAGCCCCTGTGCTGCCCTAATCAGTCTTTCTTTGTGACAGGCAACAGAGGATTTTCGTTGTTGAACTCATTGAAAACAATAGACACCACATGTACAGTGCCTTGAAAAAGTATTACTATCCCTTGAAATTTTCCACACTTTTTTTTGGTAAACAATTTTGAAAACCATTTATCATTTTGCTTATACTTCACAATTATGTGCTACTCTGTGTTGGTCTATCACATGAAATCCCAATAAAATACATTTACGTTTTTGGCTGTAACATGACAGTGTAGAAAATTTCAAGGGGTATGAATACTTTTTCAAGGCACTGCAGCTGTGAGACAAAGTCATTGCAATTTCTAATTACACTGCAATTCTATAAATATTTTAATTCAATACCATGCCTCCCCAGATTCAAGAGGACTGTCAGGAAATGTTTAAACTATTAATTTAGTCAGCTATGATGATCGCTTAATCGATAGATGAACAACAGTGCATCCAATCTAACAAAAAAAATAATTTATCAAAAATAATTAAGCTGACTAATTCATTATTCTCAGGATTCTTTGCCAGTGCAGGAATTATTTGATTAACACAATAAGATCGGATGTAAGTATGGACTGTGGACTGTAAAATAAATTACATTTATTTTACAGAAGACACTAAGATTTTTTAATTGAAGTTCTAAATTATACGTTACCACATCGTTACACTAATAAAGCAAATATATATTTCCCCACGAAGATATCCTAACAGTTTTTATTAAATTTGGCAGACAATAATCTGCATTTGAATAACTATCCTTTGGTCTACTGCAGCTGGATCAAAGGGTGTAGGCCGTTTGTAAATTATGTCAATATGGCAAAATATAATAATCTGATTATGAAATGTTATGAGATTGGTAGGGGATATCAAATTGACCAACATGACATATTGCAAACAGAATAAATCAGCAAGAAAATGGAAGCAATATTTAACCTCTAAAGAAGATATAGGTTTTAAAATGGCAGCTGATAAGACCCTTAAAGAAAAAAATGGCTGCTGATCAATGGGTGGAGTTGTTTTCCCAAAATAGCATCTAGCTATGCTGGAGTTGTGTGTCCTGGCTTCAGTGACGTGTATCAGATGATGAGTCTCTGGTTTTTTTAATGAGATGTGTAATGCTCTCCCATGGATGAGGGGTGTGTGATGTGTTGTGTATCTTGATGATGAGGTGTGTTGATCTCTTTCTGTCTACCTGATTTGCCATATATTAAATGCGGACAATACAACTTATAAAAACTACTCAGGGGGTATAGCCTTTTTTCTCATTGATAGCCCAGCTTATTGATTAACATTTTGTGTAATCAATCAGTAACTGACCTGACTACCAGATGGCACCCTGGGAGTAAAAATGTCTACATGTTTTTCTTTGAGGGTTTGGTAATTTGTGACCTGTGAACGTTCCTTTTTTCATGTAAAAGCATTTAAATGTGAAATTTTAACTACAAAGAGGTGGAGTTTCATACATAGCTGTCCATAACGAAAATATTAATGATACACAGAGAAAAGTATATATAAACTACTATTTGAGTATGGCTACATTATAACACACACATTTCAAACAATATTGATAATGAATAAAAACAACATAACTATGATAATTTTATGTGAAGAAGAAGGGACCCCCTAGGACTTGGGACTTTGAAGGCTTAAGTAGTACCAAAAATATTAAAAAAGTACACATTTTTATTTGTGAAAAATTGTTATGACACATCGACATACAATACAATACATCATACAGAGTCGTAGTACAGCATCAAAACCAGAATATGAATTTACATGATAAGGATACCCAGTATGACTATGTTTGACTGGCCATAGAGGATATGAATTGTGGTATCATCATTGGTGTACAAAAACTGCAGAGATACTATTCTAATTGTTCCAGCACGTTTCCGAGTGGTTCCACTCCTTCCTCAGGGAAAAGAGAGAAGAACTTTGCCTATGGATGACATCATCTACACGATTAAACATATTTGTTTGGAACAAGTCTCATATCCTTAACAACATTTAATACCTTGTAATCTGTAGATATACTTAAAATACATGAAAGTGCAAAAAGAATGGTACCTATGATAATATTAACCACTTGCCCTCTTGAGGATTTACCCCCCCTTCCTGACCAGGCCATTTTTTTGCGATACAGTGTAACGTTACTTTAAGTGACATTTGCGCTGTCATGCAACGCTGCACTCAAATGAAATGTATGTCCTTTTTTTCCCATAAATATTATTATTATTATACAGGATATATATAGCACCAACAGTTTGCTCAGCGCTTTACAATATAACGGGAGACAATACAGCAACGATACAGTTCAATACAAGAGGGTTAGGAGGGCCCTGCTCCTTGGAGCTCACAATCTCAAATAGAGCTTTCTTTGGTGGTATTTGATCGCCTGTGCATTTTTATTGTTTGCGCTATGAAAAAAAAAGGCCACCAATTTTGAAAACTATATTTTTTTACTTTTTGCTATAAACATGTCCAGTAAAAAAATAAAAAAAAAAAAAATTTTGTCATAAATTTAGGCCAAAATGTTTTCTGCTACATGTCTTTGCTAAAAAAAAATCCCAGTATGTGTAAATTAATTGGTTTACGTGAAAGATATAGCGTCTACAAATGGCGATATATATATATATATACAGTATATATATATATATATATATATATATATATACTGGATTTTTTTTTTAATACTAGTAATGGTGAGAATCAGTGACTTATAGCAGGACTGCGATGGGCATTCTGACACTGGGGGAGAACTGACTAACTGTCACTGACATCCCCAGTGACACCAATACAGTGATCACTGCTAATAAAAAGCACTGATACTGTACTATTGACACTGGGCACGAAGGGGTTAACATCTAGGGTGTTCAAAGGGTTAACTGTGTGCTGTTTCACTTTGGGGCTGTGTGTGTGCTTTACACTGTAAGCACACTGCTTTGTATGGCTTTGCTATGCAGAGTCATACAAAGCAGTGTGCAGGAGCTGACAGGGGAAAGATCTGTATTGTTTACAAACAGGTCTCTTCCCCATCCGTGATACACTGTGATCGCCAGGTGCCGGTGGGGAATCACCGGCCGGGACCCGGTGATTGACAGCCAAGGCACATGCGCGCCACCATACCCGGAGATGCAAAATCACGTATTTATACATGATTTTACGCACCCGTGCCACCCTGTAGCAGTATTTCTGCTATAGGGCGGCAGGAAAGCTGTTAAGGCTGAGTCCTTTTTAGATCATTTTATATTTTGTCATAGATATATATATTACAACTATGTCATAATGCCGTATGACTGGAAATATAGTTCATGAAATTAATCTATGTTATACGAATAATGTGAGTAAGGAAATATTAGACTTTTGCAAGCAGTTCATTTCTGTTAGTGGGGGTTTTGTCCTGTGTGTATTTTCCCAGCTTGAAGGACAATGGTGCCTGTACACACAGGAACTTGGTGAATCATTCCATATACCTTGTCTCTTCAATTTGTTGATCTTTCTCATTGCCAGAACAATTAAATCTCAGCTGGACCATAGCAGTTGTGTACAACTTGTTTATTTTCATTTGGGAAGTCAATGTTTCCATTGTGAAAAGTCCCTGGCCTTAATGGATCTGTACACAATTAGTTTGCAGACCAAACTTTCCAAGTTGAAAAATCAGTGTGTCTGTGATTTCCATACCAATGCCTATAACTGAACAAAGGAAATCTTTATAATGTATGGGTAGCTTTAGCTTAGTGTCTTTTCTTGCTTGCATCTTCTGGGACCTGTTGTTAGTTTGATAAATAAGGTCCTGACCTGTGTATCAAACCATTTTAATGCCCCGTACACACGATAGGAAAATCGTATGCAAATTTTCATACGAGGACCGATCGTCCCGATAATCGGATCATTAGTACACAGCTTTTGAGAGCCAATCACGACAATTCGTATGACAATATCCGAAGAGACAAGCGCAAAACTTTTTCTCGTACGATACCAGATAGTACGATTTTCGTTTAATCAGTTCAGTAGTCGTCTGAAAATACAATACAAATACAATGCAATACATGACATCACTTTCGAAATTCTTTTCTTTCATAGGAGAATTCTCGTATCTTTAGTAACCTTTTCACTTTCGATGTGAGACTAGCAGGCGAAAAAAAATGGCCGATCGTTCGTCCGATATTCTCATCGTGTGTACGGGGCTTTAGAAACAGTTGTGCCTGGGGATTGCTTGTTGAAATACAAACAGGAATACGCTGCAGTTATCGAAGCAGTTTACAATGTACTTTTTAAAAAATAAATTATTTATAGGACTTGACAATGAAATGTGATAATAAGGCTCCATGTACACTGCAGCTGATAAACTCACGCTCAGGAGCTTGTCTGCATTTTTTTCAGCAGCCCCTGAACTCTCCGGAATGTTTTCCTATGTGTCCATGTACACTATGTTGTTTACAGTCATTTACAGGCAGTTGAGTTTACAGTCTTATTTTTAACACAACAAACATGCATTCAGGAGTAGATTTTATTAGCTTTTCAAACTCCAAACGCTTGTAAATGCGGCTAACCGCGTTTGTTAGTGTTTGTGTTTGGAAAATTTGTTTAACGCTTTCATTTCCAGATGCTGTCCAGAGCCTTTTTTCATCATGAAAAATGCATGCAAAGCGTTTTAAAGGTACTCAAATGGACCTGGTACACCATACTTTGAGGTTTTGCATAAAAGAAAATATGTTAGACACTGCTGCAATAATTTCTACACAGAAATGAGCTGGAACACATCCAAACACCACAAAAAAAAAACAAAACAAAACAAAAAAACACAGCTAATCTCAACAAATACTGCTCTCTCTGCTTCTGCTCTCTCTATTTCTCTCAAAATGTCTGAAATAGTTTATTTATTACTGTTTTTTCAGTGCATTCTGGGCATTTTGGAAGGTCTCCTGAGGTTATCTTTAAAAAACGCTTCTAAACGAAAATGCTCATAAACGCGCATAAACGTGGTATGCAAACACTGCTAAACAGATGTTTTTTAACCAACGTTTTCCAGCAGTCAGTTTCCATCGTTCAGAAGTGATTTCCAAATGTCCCGTGTACATGGAGCCTAACAATCACAGAATCATAGGAGGTGGCATAAAATTGCATAGCAGGGTTAAAAAAAAAAATGAAATTATCATGAAGATACACTCACTGCACATGTCTTTCCAACGAGATTTCATAAAGACCGAAATTATGAGGTACAGTGAATCAGTGGGTATAATATGCAACATTTGGTAGCAATTGCAGTTCCTATAGTATAATGTACATTTTTTAAAGAGAAGTTGGCGAAGAAAGCCTGGCAATGAAACAAAGGTTTTTAATTATTTTGTTAAATAAAAAATATTTCCTATTATACTTCCTATTTATTAACCCTTGTCACTCCTTTTTACTACTTTTTTTCACATTTGCAGTGAGTGGGAAAGAGATAGAACCCCTGTTTGGATTTCCATTGCCACCAGGCTGGTGCTAGACTGAGTTTGTGCCCTAGGAAAGACAAGCTACTTGAACTCCCCTCCCCGAAAAAATAAAACTTCACACAGAGCTAGTTCATGCTAATGTTAACTCTTGACTATCTGGAGAGCCAGGAGGAAGTGATGTTGCATGCAGCATGGCTTGTGCGGCACCAATTGGCTGGATATCTTTTCCTTCGTGGATTGGCTGACGTTTGCAGGAGACGGCTTTATCTCCATCTAACATCATCCAATCCTGTCTGAAGACAGTGACACCAGGACCCAGAAGTGATGTTTTACACAGTGCTTCCGGGTCACTAACAGGAAGGGGGGATCAGTGAACAGGTGTTCACTGATCTCCCTCCCTTCTACCTGTGGCACCCACCATGCAGGTCCCAGGTCCGCTGTAGTACTGCAGCAGGGGGTTTTACACAACACCCCACCACTATTGCCATACTATGGTGGCAGTGCCTTTGTAACATAATGAGGAGTGGTTGGGGGTCGGTTTTATTGTCTCTCAAACACAAGTGTAAATAAAAAAGAAACAGGAAGCATCTCACTGTGCTTATGTGATCGTCATCATTATCATGATGATGATCACACAGTACAGAAGGTGCTCTATGCCTGTCTGTATACAGCACATGACTGTATTTCTGTCTGTGCATCAGAAAACAGAAATTGTGAGCTTGCCTTCCCATGGATGCCTGTGCCCTCGACCACCTCTCTGTTGAATCACCTCCCGCAGCTGATCTACAGCCTCGCCTTCCGCCTTCCACCCTCCGCATCGAAGGAAGGAACACTCTGCCAGTGAAAGGCTGTGAGCAGCCACGGCCAACCACTACTGATCTTTAGCCGTCTGTACTCAAAATTAAAAAAAGAGTCCCTCTCTGCTCCTCGCCTCCTGGGCCCCTCTGGTGAGCTAGGCTACTGCCTAGTTTGCCCAGTGGTAGCACCTGCCCTGGATGCAGGGGAAATCTTCAATGGAGGCAGGTTTTCTGCATGACAACTGCCAAAGCGGGGAGTTTACTCACATTGGAAAGAAATCCTCTCACTTTCTGTTGAGTCTATAGATTAGAAGTAAAGAGAAATCACCTTAAATAATATGTAAACCCAACATTTCATATTCCTGATATGTTCCTGCTGCACCATGTACTTGTATGGAAAATTTTCCTCTTTGTAGAGTTTACTACAGTTGCAAGAAAAAGTATGTGAACCCTTTGGGATTACGTGGAGTTTTGCATGAATTGGGCATAAAATGTGCTCTGAACGTCATCTAAGTCACAACAATAGAAGAATACAGTCTGCTGAACATAATACTACACAAACATTAGATGTTGCCATGGTTTAATTGCACATAACATGTAAACATTCACAGTGCAGGGAGGAAAAAGTATGTGAACCTTTGGACTTAATAACTGGATGACCCTCCTTTGGCAACAATAACCTCAACCAAACGTTTCCTGTAGTTGCAGATCAGACCTGCACAACGATCTGGAGTAATTTTGGACCACTCCTCTTCACAAAACTGTTTCAGTGTAGCAATATTCTTGGGATGTCTGGTGTGAATTGCTCTCTTAAGGTCATGCCACAGCATTTAAATCGGGTTGAGGTTAGGACTCTGACTGGGCCACTCCAGAAGGCGTATTCTGTGCTGTTGCAGCCATTGTTTTTGTTGAATTACTTGTATGCTTTGTCTCATTGTCCTGTTGCATCACCCATCCTCTGCGGAGCTTCAGTTGGCGGACAGATGGTCGTACGTTTTCCTGCAAAATGTCTTGATAAACTCTGGAATTCATTTTCCCATCAATGACAACACACCGTCCAGGCCCTGAGGCAGCAAAGCTGCCCCAAACCATGATGCTCCCTCCGCCATGTTTTACAGTGGGGATGAGGTTTTGATGTTGGTGTGCTGTGCCTTTTTTTCTCCACACATAGTGTTGTGTGTTCTTCCCAAACAACTCAGTCTTGGTTTCATCTGTCCACAGTATATTTTGCCAGTAGTGCTGTGGAACATCCAGGTGCTCTTTTGCAAACTTCAAACGTGCTGCAATATTCTTTTTGGACAGCAATGGCTTCCTCCGTGGTGTCCTCCCATGTACTTCATTCTTGTTTAATGTTTTCCTTATTGTAGATGTGTCAACAAAAATGTTAGCATGTGCCAGAGATTTCTGTATGTCTTTAGCTGACACTCTGGGATTCTTCTTTACCTCATGCAGCATTCTGCGCTGTGCTCTTGCAGTCATTTTTACAGGACGACCACACCTAGGGAGAGTAGCAACAGTGCTAAATTTTTCCATTTGTAGACAGTCTGTCTTACCGTGGACACATGAACATCAAGGCTTTTGGAGATACTTTTGTAACCCTTTCCAGCTTCATGCAAGTCAACAATTCTTGATCGTAGGTCTTCTGAGAGCTCTTTTCTGCAAGGCATGGTTCACATCAGACAGTGCTTCTTGAAACCAGTAAACCCAAAACAGGTGTGTGTTTTTTAAGGGCAGGACAGCTCTCAGCAACACATCCAATATCATCACACTGATTGGACTCAAGGTTGGCTCACTCCTGGCTCCAATTAGCTCTGGGAGAAGTCATTAAGCTAGGGCCTCACATACTTTTTCCTCCCTGCACTGTGAATGTTTACATGTTATGTGCAATTATACCATGGCAACATCTAATGTTTGTGTAGTATTATGTTCAGCAGACTGTGTTCTTCTATTGTTGTGACTTAGATGACGTTCAGAGCACATTTTATGCACAATTCATGCAAAACTCCACGTAATCCCAAGGGGTTCACATACTTTTTCTTGCAACTGTATGTGTGAAATCTTTCTGTTCCTGCAAGTCCCTCTGCTTTCCTATTAAATACTGACCACACTAGGCTGGAGAGCACAATGTGGGCAGTTCTCTAGCTGTGCTGGGAACTCAGTGTGCTCTCCTCCAATGATCAGACTTGTGCTGACATGCCTTACAGGTTGGATTGATGTGAACTGAGTTTGTTTCTAAGATACTTATAAAGAGCCCCCTCTTTGGAATATATGTGCCTTGACTACTTTGATTACCATGCTGTCTTTAAGGTGACTTACTTACATTGGGTCTGGATGGTTCCCTATTGGGAAGTTGGTCTCTCTATTTTAAAATGATGTGTACAAGACCATTGAATATTTACTGAATATACCTGAATTTCCCACCCTAGAGGCAGAGGCTTCACCTTAGCTTACTCATTTGCACCTCTATGAGCAACATGTACCTGCTATGAATTCTACCCTACTGGCTGATTTTACTCTATTGAAGATTAGGAGTGGGTTCCAGTGTACTGATTCTGTCACATGTGCTCATTAAGAAGGATAACCAAAATGCATTCAGTCCACATGTGAGCTGTAATCAGAATCTTTGCATGTTGTTAGCTCCTATGTGGAGAGTAATTTTTATGATCAATCTGAGTTTATTGAAGTTATATAAAATTTAGCAGAGAAAAAAAAAAGCAAAAGTCATTTACATAGATATTAACAATAGCAAAATAAAAAACAGAAAATTCAGAATTAGGGTTTGGGGGGAAAAAAGTAAAAAAAGGGGGAACACAATAATAAAAGGGGAGGGGGGAGATAAATAACACACACGAAAAAAAAAAGGGGGGGGACAGACAGATAAATAAACAATAATAAACAATAGTAAACAATAACATCCTGGATCTAGACTACAGCAGTGATTGACAGCAAGTACAGAACCCATGGCTATAGAACAGGTAGCCTATACAATATAGGCAAATCTAGGCCCCAAGGGGGTACAGATAGCAGAGGC